GTATAGGTCCTTTACCTCTTTTGTTAGATTTATTCCCAAATATTTGATTTTTTGTTTCAATAATAAAAGGGGTTGGTTTTTTTGATTTCTTCTTCTCTTTATTATGTTTGTATAGGAAGGCTACTGACTTTTGCATGTTGATTTTGTATCCTGCCACTTTACTGAACTGATTGATGAGTTGAATAGTTTTTCTGTGGAGATTTTGGGGTTCTCTATGTATATTATCATATCATCTGCAAATAGTGATAGTTGACTTCTTCTTTTCCTATTTGGATTCCTTGATGTCTTTCTCTTGTCTTATTGCTCTGGCTAGGACTTCCAGTATTATATTGAAAAGCAGTGGTGAGATGGACATCCTTGTCTTGTTCCAGATCTTAATGGAATTGCTTTCAGCTTTTCACCATTGAGAATGATACTGGCTGTGGCTTGTCATAGATGGCCTTTATGATGTTGAGGTATGTTCCTTGTATCCCAAGAATTTCAAGGGCTTTTATCATGAATGGGTGTTGCACTTTGTCGAAAGCTTTCTCAGCATCTATTGATATTATCATATGGTTTTATATTTCTTTTTGTTGATGTGTTGGATAACGTTGATTGATTTTCGGATGTTAAACCATCCTTGTGCCCCTGGAATGAATCCAACTTGGTCGTGGTGAATTATCTTATGGATACATTGTTGGATTCTGATAGCTAAAATTTTATTGAGGATTTTTGCATCAGTGTTCATTAGGGAGATTGGCCTATAGTTTTTCCTTTTTTGTGTTGTCCTTATTCGGTTTTGGTATTAGTGTAATATTGGCTTCATAGAACGTGTTTGGTATTGTCCCTTCCTTCTCAATTTTTGGAAGAGTTTGTGAAGGATAGGCACTAATTCGTCTCTGAATGTTTGGTAGAATTCATTTGTAAATCCATCAGGTCCTGGGCTTTTGTTTTTGGGGAGGTTTTTGATTACCATTTCAATTTCGCTGCTTGTAATTGGTCTGTTTAGGTGTTCTATTTCTTCTTTATCTAGCTTTGGGTGATTGTAGAGTTGTAGGAATTTGTCCATCTCCTCTAGATTGTTGAACTTGTTTCCATATAACTGTTCATAGTAGTTACTGATTATTCTTTTGATTTCTGCTGTGTCCGTTGTGATTTCTCCTCTTTCATTTATGATCCTGTGTTATTTTGGCTTTCTCCCTTTTTTCCTTTGTGAGCCTGGCTAGGGGTTTGTCTATTTTATTTATTTTTTCAAAGAACCAGCTCTTGGTTTCATTGATCTTTTGGATTGTTTTTTTAGTTTCAATTTCATTTATTTCTGCTTTGGTTTTTATTATTTCTTTTCTTCTACTGGTTCTGGGGTTTTTTGTTGTTCTTTTTCTAGATCTTTGAGCTTCGAGATTAGGTTGTTTCTTTGAGTTCTTTCTTGTTTTTGATGTGAGCTCTATTGCTATATATTTTCCTCTTATTACTGCTTTTGCTGCATCCCATACATTTAGGATATTGGTGTCCTCCTTGTCATTCAATTCAAAGAATTTTTTAATTTCTTCTTTGATCTCCTCGTTAGTCCAGTGGTCTTCCAGTAGTGTGGCTTTTAATCTCCATGAGGTAGGATAGTTCCTTGCCTTCTTTTTATGATTTATTTCTAGTTTGATGCCTTCGTGGTCAGAAAAGATGGTTGGTATGATGTCAATCTTGGTGTATCTGTTGATGTTTGTCTTGTGCCCCAGTATGTGATCGATCCTGGAGAATGATCCGTGTGCGCTTGAGAAAAATTGTACTCCGTTTTTTTGGGTTTAGTGTTCTATAGATGTCTGTTAAGCCCAAATGCTCTAGGTCCTTATTTAGAGCTTTAGTTTCTTTACTTATTTTTTGTCTTGTTGATCTATCCATTGTTGATAGTGGTGTGTTGAAGTCTCCCACTACGTATGTGTTTTCTCTGATGTCTGTTTTCAGAGAGGACAACAGTTGTCTGATATATTTTGGTGCTCTTTCGTTTGGTGAGTATATGTTAATGAGTGTTATTTCTTCTTGAAGTATTGTCCCCTTAATCATAATGTAGTGACCATTGGGGTCTCTTTTTATTTTTTTGAGTTTGAAGTCTGTTTTATCTGATATAAGTATAGCTGTTCCTGCTTTCTTTTTTGGCCCATTTGCTTGTAGGATTGTTTTCCATCCTTTGACTTTGAGCCTATTTGTATCTTTTGTAGCTAAATGTGTTTCCTGGAGACAGCAAACGGTTGGGTTTTGTTTCTTAATCCAGGCTGCAACTCTGTGTCTTTTATTGAAGAGTTTAGTCCATTTACATTTAGAGTTAATATTGATATGTTAGCATCTGTATTTGCCATTATGTTTGTCTTTCCTTTGATTTTATTTATTCTTTTAATAACTTTTTTTTTTTTTGGTCTTCTTTTCGTTGTTATTCGTCCCTCTGAGGTTCTGGCTTTAGGAGTCCTTTGTAGTATTTTTTGGAGTGGGGGTTTATTCGTAATGAAATTCCGGAGTTTCTCTTGTCTGGGAAGGTCCATATTCTTCTTCATGGAGGAAAGAGAGCTTTCGGGATAGAGTATTCTTGGTTGGCATCTGTTTTCTTGAGTCTGTTGACTATGTCCCTCCACTCTCTCCTTGCCCGTAGTGTTTCTTCAGAGAAGTCTGATGTCAGCCTGATTGGTTTTCCTTTGAATGTTATCTGTTTCTTCCCTCTTGTCAGCTTCATTATTTTTTCCTTGTCCTGGATTCTTGGGAGCTTTACTATTATGTGTCTTGCTGTGTTTTTCCTTTCGTCGTGGAAGTTTGGTGTTCTTCTTGCTTCTTGTATATCAATTTTCAGCTCCTTCTTCGCATTTGGGAAGTTCTCTTCAATTATCTCCTGGAATATTTTCTCTGTTCCTACATCTCTCTCCTCTCCTTCTGGAATTCCTATAACTCTTATATTTCCTTTCCTCATGGAGTCAGATAGTTCGCGAAGTCTTTCTTCATTCTTTTTCCTTCGTACTTCTCTTTCCTTTTCTGTTTTGGTTCTTTTTATTTCCGTGTCTTCAAGAGAACTCATTCGTTCTTCCATTTCATCTATTCTGCTTTCCTTGCTTTTCCGGAGTTCTTTAGTTCCTCCATTAATTCTTTGATCTCCTGCATTTCTTTTACTTCCCTCTTTAGGGACTCAATTTCATTCTTCTGACCATTGTTTTCCCTCTTTAGGGACTCAATTTCCTTCTTCTGATCCATCACTTTTTTAATCATGGCAATTTTAAATTCTCTTTCTGGAAGGCTCAGAAGTTCTTCCAAGTTGCTGTCGTTGCAATCTGGGGAGTGGTTTTCTTTTTGTGGTGTGCTTCTTTCCTGAGGAGTTGTTAGGTTGCGTGTGGTTCTTCTACTCCCTACTGTCTGTTTTCTAATTTGTCGTATGCGTTGGGACACTGTGATGCTCGGACTGACTGGCATCTTGGGTGAACTTCTCCGCTCCCCTCTGGCTCTTCCAGGAGCCATCTCTGCCTTCTGGGGGAGCTTTCTGCTGGTTTTAGGCAGTTTTTACTGAAGAAATGTCCCTGTTCTCAAATGGCGAAGCGGGATGCAGTCCCTGCGCCTCCGGTTTCAGGCACACTCTTCTGCGCCCCCGGTCTGCCCCGGACGTGAGTGCCTGCTCCCTCTGTGGGCTCAGACTGCTGGTGGGAAGGGGCCTGGCGTGGAATAACTTCCCGGCTGGCCACTGCAGAAGCCTTCTGCCCTTTTCAAGCAGTCTTAAGAAATTTCCTGTTCTATGGGGTGTTAGTGACTTTTTTTTTCCTGGTCACTAGGTGGCGCCAGAGATCTCTCCTAGTGTCCTTGGGGGGCTGTTTTTCGTCCCCCCAACCCCGTGGGACAGGGAGCAGAGCGGGAATGGTAGGGTACACCTCAACAGCTTTGGGGTGCTGTGTCTGCCTTGTGCCCCACCGTCGTGGAGAACCCACGCCCCGAATTTTCGTGCCCCGGGTCTCAGTTCAAAGCCCTCAGGTCCAGGACGCGGGCTGTAGCCCAGTTCAGTGGCGCGGGAATGGCGCCTTTTGCACTGCTCCCGTGCCCGGGTGCCTGGTTCCTGCTCACTCAGGGAGGGACCTTCACCTCAGTGAGGACCTCCGCGCGTCTCCCCGCAAGCCTAGGTCGCAGGCGCGGGTACCTGGGCAGCCGCGATTCCGGTCTGCACTTGCTTTTCAAGCTCCCCGAGCGCGCCGCGTTTCCGCGCCAGCTTACTGGCAGCCCGGGCTGTGTGCGCGTCTCCCGGGGTCTTTGTTCTTCTCTATTGGCGCCCGGAGCCGTTCCCTCACCGCCGCGGCGGATCCTGCAGGGTTCGCCTCAGCTCCCGTTCACGGGGTGTGGTGGCTGCAATAGTTCCTTTCCATTCACAGTCCCGCTTGCTGCGTCGTTTGTTCTTGTTGGTTGTTTTGATTTGTTGTTTCCCTCCTCTCTGCCGGTCGGAGAGTGCCGCCTCTGTGGGCGGGGGAGGGGAGCAGGGTTCTGCGCTTCCCTCCCTTCTAGTCCTCTTTTATGGCCACTTTCTTCTTCGGGCAGTTTGCTGGAGTCACCCGTTTATCTTCCGTGTCCCACTTCTCACTGGGACCTGCCGCTTTTCCTCCCTATTAACTTTTTTTAATGGGAGATCTTACTCGCAGCGTCTCCTCGCTGCCATGTTGCTCCCCACCGACCGAAAATATCACTACTTCTTTGGGTGTTCAGGTAGAAGGATGGTTTCTTCTGCCTCAGGATATGCTTTGGGGAAGATACTTGCTATTTAAGGAATCTTAAGTGGAACAACTTCAAAATACTTTGCTATAATATGTTCTGAAAGGCAATTAAGTCTTGACATGCAAAGACATGTGAATGTAGCATTCTGAAAGAACTATGGAAGTTTTTTCTTTCACTGTAGGGTCCCTTAGGTAATTTGTTGTTAGTTGAATGTTTGAAAAACACTGTCTATAATAAATAATGCAATTACCAAAAATTGTATTATCTTCTCACTTGCACATAATTAATATTCTTTCTTTCAGCTGGATATGTCAAGTGACCAGATAGCTGCCAATATCCAGGCAGTTATCAATGAAGTTTGTAAACATAGACCACTAAATTTGGGTAAGTGATTTGCTGGAGTAGATTTCCTTACTACTCCAGTAATGATTTAAAAATGTAAAATATTGAGAAATCCAGTTAACATCTAACTACAGCAGCAATAGTATTTCTAAGGATTAAATAAAATTGGATTCTCCAAATGATTCTTAATTACCTTATTAATAAGTTGTAGTTGTTTAGAGAGGAGACCACTTTAATGTTAATAAAGAATATATTCTGAAATCTTTGTAAATTCCCACATTATTTTACCATTAAACATAATAAAATTTGACAAAAAGCTGTAACTCCTAGCCTTTTAACTTAGAATAGTGTTAACTAAAATCTAAAACCATTTATGAAATGATATTTTGAAATCAGACCATTTATTGGCACTGGCACTGGCACTAACAATTGACTTTCTTAATCCTATTTATTTCAGAAAAGAAACAAGATTTTTAATCATGTCACAAGAGTCATGTCTTATTATAATTAGGGTGATTATGGAGTATAATGAAACGTGGTCAAGATGTAGAAGTTGTGTAGTAGGCTAGGAACCTCTCCAGTGACCTTATCACTGTATTACATGCCATTCACATTCTTTCCACAGACAAATTTCACTCCCAGCTGGTTAAAGCCAAGCAAGGGTCCATTACACTCAATTGACAGTTCACTTATAGGCTTACCATTACAGGAATCTGTCAGCTTTTGCTTTATAAACAAGTATATAATTAAACATAATTCTAAATGATTTTTCACCTTCTTTGGGAGTTAAACACATGGATGAATGTGTACCTCATTTGTTTGTGTATGGATCCTTATATTCCACAGAGAATTTTGATTTCTCTAAAGGGGAGCCTCTGAGACTATAGCATAAGTCGACGGATGGAAAGTAAATCTTTCAAAGCTGTGGAGTTAACTTCTTTTTGCCATTTTAAATTAAGTCCCTTAATGTTTTTCTTATTGAAAGCTTTTTAATTTTTTAGAGAATTTTCTGTTTGGTAACACAGAGGTAGCAGCTGTACTGTTTTAGGTAAATATTTAGAATATTGCCATCAAATATAAATATCACCACCTGCTCACTTCACTGTTGACTTTGCAATAAAGTAAATTCTAGGTGATTATCTTCTGGAAGAGAAAAATGAATTTTTGGTGAATATATGTTGTTTCAAGGATAAATCTCTAATATTCTAGAGTACAGCTAGTTTGTCTTCTACTCTAGAAATGATCTTCCTTTTATAATTCAAAATATTAGTTCAGTAAACCGTACTTCTCAAGTGAAAATATAACAAGTCCTGTAAGCTTTCTTGTTGTATGTTTACATTTGTTCCTTTGGTATCCATGGCATAAAATGAAAGTTGGTTCTTATCTTTGTTTTCAGGACCCTTTGTGATACGGGCTTTCCTTCGAAGTTCAACAAGTGAAGGTTTGTTACTAAAGATGGAGCCGCTGTTGCCTAAAGAAGCAGAAACTAAAGGAAATAATAAAGTACCTGCCTAACAGTGCTGCATTGTGAAGTTATTATTGGTAATTAAAAAGCAACAGAGAGGGCCTCCCCTGTGGCGCAGCGGTTGAGCTCTGGGTTGCGAAGCTGCCCGCAGCCTCTGCAGCACTGGTTTGATCCCCAGCTGCTCCCCGGCCACCGGAGGAGGGTCCCATATGGCGCGGAGACCTCTCCTGCCGCCCACTGCTCCCCTCAGGAGTGTACTTCTGTCCTTCTGTCTGCTCTGCTCCCCGCTCTGGCTCTGGTGAATTCCCTCACCCTCCTGTGCTTCTGACTGTATCCAGTGCTTGTATAAATAAATAAAAATAAATCTTTTTAAAAAATAAATAAATAATAAAAAGCAACAGAGAAAATTATAAAACTAATTTCTACATTTGGTATTTTATTTTTTGATCATCAAACTTGAAAGTGAGTTTTAACATTGGAAAATCTTATGACATTTTCAAACATAAGAAAATAAAATTTTCATTATGTCTGAACCTGCCTTCTATTTCCTGGTAAAGTTTCATCCTAAAAATTCAGCTTCTGCCTGCTGGCAATTGTAGCAGCAATTTCTCTCTTACAATTTTCCCTTGAGAGTCCTACCATCCCAAATTCCCATAAGACAGAGAATGGCAATGTCATGAACTACATCACAAATATGACTATTTTATAAAGAAAAATTTATGGAAAATATTGAATTTCACTTCTGATGGCATGAATATCGAAAATGATTGAGCCATAAAAACAGGGTGGGTGGGAAATACTTTTTTCCTCTTAGAAATCAATTTGTAATAATATATGCTTGCATTTTGTAGTAATAATACCCTATATATTTAATGGTGCTTTGCACAATACCAGGTACCATGTATAGTGTTTTCATATACTTAAACTCATTTGATCCTGAATTCCCCTGCTTAACAGGTTTGGTTAGTATTTGTAGACTGAATATCCAATGAGGTAGATAGAACTACTAGGACTACTGTATTTGTGGATGAAGAATCAAGATAAGAAGTTGAATATCTCTTATAAATGCCAGTTTGCAAAGTGGTGTTGATCTTTAAGTGTTCATTGGAATGTGACAAAATGAAAAAAATGTGACAAAATGATAATTTTGGCATGCAGTTGCCAGCTGTCCTTCTTGGGAATGATTTTCATCACTCTGTCACTACCTTCCACTTTTTTAGGGAGGTGTTTAAATGCTTCTTTAAAAATAAAATAATAGTGCTAATAAATTTTTTGGTCAGGTTTTAATAATACCCATTTTGTAAAGAATATTTTGACAGCTCCATATAGATTTTCCAAATTGTTTTTAAAATTTTAGTGGTTTGTGAAGCCCAAATGATTAAGAATAAACACAGTATCCCTCTAAGCTTTGTTCCCACAGGAAAATTAAACCTTAAAGACTGTTTACCAAAGACAACTGTAGCATTTACTAAGAAACAGCAACAGCAGCTACCCTCTGTTGAAGGCCTAACCACTATTGTAATCTCTATGATATTGTATGCGTCCTCTCATTTCATTCTCATGGCAGTGTAGTGAGGAAGGTGGTACTTCCGTTTTGCAGAAAAGGAAATTGAAACTTGTGTGATGTCCCATAGGCGATAAGCTAAGATTGAAACCTTTATCTGTCTGTTTTTGAAGTCTGTTCTCTTAATCATCTGGCTATTTTATCATCTTTTTATTTTTTCTAAGATAAATTGTTTCACTGTACAGTTTGAAATTTTTTAAATATTGAGTAATTAACACTTCAGTTTCTTGATATCTCTAACTATAAGGTTATAGCAGAGCTGATGTGAAGAAAGTAGAAATAAAATAAATAAAAGGGCTGAAAGGAGTGGGATGAGAAAAGAGTAGTGCAGGATGGGGAGAAAAGGATATCTGCTCATTTTCCACATTACCATCTTTTGAAAACTTACCAATTAGTTGTTACCTGAAGATCCTAACTCACAGGGTAAAAATTTTATTGTTGTAGATTTTCTTCTGCTTAATAAAGTAAATCTTATTACTGAAATTTTAGAAATAGTAATTAATGTAAAACAAATTTTAAAAATATATTTTAAAACAATGTTATTGTTCAGTGATAACTATAGACAATAGTGCTTTCCATTGTCCTTCAGTTGAGAGAGAGTGGAAGAGAGAGAATGACCATGTACACACATGAATTAAAAAGTGAGCATTTTCCATTAGTATTTAGAAACCTCATAAGAAATTTTCATTTTAATGATCTATCAATATTCATCCTGGTAATGCTTTCCTTTTTTTTAAAAGATTTATTTCGGCATACAAGAACTAGGGTACAGGCCAGAGGTGTGTGGAGGGGGAGGTGAGAGGATTCACCAGAGACAGAGTGGGGAACCAGAACAGGTAGACTGACTGAAATACACTACTGAGGGGAGCAGCGGGCGAGTCAGGAGAGGTCTGCTGAGCCATGTGGGTAGTTTCTTGGCTAGGGATCGAACTCGCGCTGAAGTGGCCGCCAATATCTTCATAGGTTGTGGGTTTTAACCCCTTGTGCCACCAGGGAGGCTCTGCTTTCATTTTTGGACTCACTTTTCAATTATTGGACATTTAACTTACTTTCAAGTCCTACTTCTCAACCCACTTTTTGTTATTTATAAAAAGCATATTTATTGTATTTATTATTTATCTTTGTCTCTATAGAAATGACATTCCTGCGTTAGAATGATAAGGTTGAAAGTCTTAATTATAGCTTAGAAAGATGCCTTTTTTAAAATCAGAACAAGGAAAGATGATTGGAAAACTTGCTCTGGACAAGAACATTCCAGGGTTTTATTAACTGGTATGTGAATGAGTTATTTCCTACCTTTCCATTAGGATATTTTTCCTGTTGGCTAACTCGAATTAATGTTGAGTGTTTATAATAGGATGCATCTGAAAAAATAGTAGAATTGCATTAGATGACTCTTAATGAAATCTCTTTCCCATTTGTGTCATTATTATTATATTTTCTTAGAGAATAATAAATCATACTTTAAAAGAGAAGTAAAACCTTAAAATTTTTCATAGTAAATACAGTGATTATTTAACTTTTGCCTGTATCCAAGTTACCTGGATGACTTGCAAACATAAATTGCTGGACTCTACTCAGCAGTCAGGGGTGGAACTTGAAAAACTGTTCCCAGATGAAGATGATGGTGGTGCTAGGACCTCACGCTGAGAACCACCAGCCTCTTCTAAGGGCTTTTTTTTAAAACTACTATTTTTTATTAGGTCACATTGGTTTACAATACTGTATATGTTTTTTAGGGGTGTAGGTTCACATCTCTTCAGATATATGTTACTATACCACACCTACCACCAAAGTCCCAATAATCCTCCACCATAGTCTGTTGCACCCCCCTCCATTTCACCTCTACCCTCTGATAGCCTCAATTCTACAGTTCTATTTTTAGGATATGTTTGGTTTAGTTTTGTCTGTTCCTTTGTTTTATTTCTTTATAGTCTACATATGAGTGGAATCATATCTGGTATTTGTATTTTGCCTTTTGACTTACCTGCTTAACCCTGACTGGTGAAAAACAAACAAAAACCTCTGACTTTTGTACCAAAATGAGCTTGCTTTAAAATTGCACAAGTAGGGCCTCCCCGGTGGCGCAGCGGTTGAGCGCTGGGTTGCGAAGCTGCCTGCAGCCTCTGCAGCGCCGATTCAATCCCCGGCTACTCCCTGGCCGCTCCCCGGCCACCGGGGGAGGGTCCCACAAGGCACGCAGACCTCTCCTGCCCTGCCGGCTGCTCCCCTCAGCAGTGTACTTCGGTCCTTCTGCCTGCTTTGCTACCTGCTCTGGCTCTGGTGAATTCTCTCACCCTCCCGCGCTTCTGACTGTACCCAGTGCTTGTATAAATAAATAAATAAATAAATAAATAAATAAATAAATAAATAAATAAATAAATAAATAAATATTTTATAAATAAATAAATAAAATTGCACGAGTGAATCAGATGCATCAATGTTGGCAATCACTAGTTTATGCAATTAACCAGTTATAAAAGATACCAAATTTGAAATGAAAGTAAAGAGTCTCAAAAAGTGAGATTTTAAAAAAGTAAATTTGCCAAATTTAAGAGCCAGGACTAGTTTCTAGTTATTTAATGTGTCCCTGTGTATAAGTGATTTAAATTCTGGATTCTCCCCTGTGGAAAATTCAAAATTTGAGCTCTTATATAAAACAAGAATATTGGAACCTCCCGGGTGGCGCAAGGGGTTGGGCGCCGCACTATGAAGCAGTCCACAGCCTCTGCAGCACGAGTTCGATCCCCAGCCGGCCAGGGAGAGACCTACATGGCGCAGTGGACCTCTCCTGTCTCGCCCGCTGCTCCCATGAGCAGTGTATTTCAGTTAGTCTGCCTGTTCTGTTCCCCGCTGTCTCTGGTGGATCCTCTCAACCCACCCCCTGCATCTCTGGCCTGTACCCCAGCTCTTGTATGCATAAATAAATAAATAAATCTTAAAAAAAAAACAAAACAAGAACATTATAAATGATCACCAGTGTGCTTTAAAACAAAAATTTAATGTAATGTCTTTTTCAGGTGGTTTTTCATACTATTAGAAGAGATGTAATATACCATCATTAACATTGCTAATATAAACACACATAAATATAAATGGTATTATATAGCTTTATCTTGTTAAAGACCAGGTGTTTGGGGTGGGGGCTGGACCCTATATAATAGTGATTTTTAAAATAGTAAATAGTTAATCATAGTGTCCAGTAGGTGGCAATAGTAACCTTTCTTATAACTTAATTGGTAATTCCTTGTTTTTTTATTTGGCTATACAAACAAAATAGCAAAGATGTTTTATATATCACTTAGACTTTTATTTGGAATGGATATTTGATTAGGTTTTTTTTGTTTTAACTTGTATTATAGACATTGAAATATACAGAAGAAAAGTAAAATACTGAACACCATTAACTCACCACCCAGCTTCAGCAGTTATCAACGTTATGGTATAGTTCTAGATACCACCATCCCTTCCATCTATCATAGTCTTTATCCCTGCTAAAGTAATTACAAGTAAATCTATAGGTTATTTAACCTACAGGATGTTAAGAATATACTCACAGGAAGATATTAGGTCCTTTTTTCAGAGTCCGTTGTTTTTGTATTCTACTCTAGCTGTTTAAGGGCATTTAGTTTTTAATCCAATTTTCATATCATAATAAGTAAAATACCTGTTTCTAGTGCTTTGAGATTTAGTGTACATAGTAACATAACTAGCCAGAAAAGTTTACATTTAAAGCAAGAAGATGTTGATATCTCCACTTTGATTTTTTTTTTAAAGATTTATTTATTTATGCATACAAGAGCTGGGGTACAGGCCAGAGGTGTGGGGGGGTGAGAGGATTCACCAGAGACAGAATGGGAAACAGAGCAGGCAGAGTGATCGAAGTACACTGCTGAGGGGAGGAGCAGGGTGTGTGTGTGGGGGGGCAGTCAGGAGAGGTCTGCTGTGCCGTGTGGATTGCTCCCTTGCCGGCCCAGGATCAAACTCGTGCTGCAGTGGCTGTGGACAATTTTGTTGGTTGTGTCTTAACCCCTTGCAGCACCAGGGAGGTCCCTGATTTTTAATTTTTTAATCAAAATATAAAATTGGAAATTTTGTCTCCTGAGAGAAAAAAAATACTGTACAAAAATGAACAACAATGTAAGAAAGTAAAAAAAAAAAAAAAAAAAATGATAGCATGAAGGTCACCATCTTATATGCCTAATCCTTTACATAGAAATATAAAACCTTTGTTTGGAGTTTTGTACATGGATAATCAAATTGTGCTCTGAGACCGAAGTCTTTCTTCCTGTTTGAGGATTCCTCAGTGTGCTTTAGAAACTCAACAGCAACCTTCATTTAAAAACAAAAATAAATAAATTTTTTCCTCTGAAGAGAGACACACCATTCTTGGATGCACTCTAATACCAACTAGGTCGATGATTGGAGTGGATGGAACAAATTTCTATTCCATCTTCTAATTCCCAACATTCAAATACTATATTGTCCACAGAAGACATATCAGATATTAAACTTGTAAGGACAGATAGGACACTTGATCTTAGCTAAAAGGCCTTTAATTATAAGGAATAGGTTAAAATAATAGTTTTCCTCTAAAGATATCACAAGGAACAAAAAATTTACCGTATTTTATTTTTTTAAAAATGAAAGCACATTAAGTAAATTTGGCAAGTAAAGAAAGGACGATGAGGAGTTTAAAGAGAATAGTGACCGGGGTCTCCCTGGTGGCACAGGCGGTTAAGCGCAGTGCTGTGAAGCTGTCGTTAGTCTCTGCAGTGCCAGTTCAATCCCCGCCGGCCTCGGAGCAACCCACATGGCGAGCAGACCTCTCTTGGCTCGCCTGCTGCTCCCCTCAGCAGTATATGTCAGTCAGTCTGATTGTTCTGTTCCCTGCACTGTCTCTGGTGAATCCTCTCACCCTCACGTGCATCTGGCCTATACCCCGGTCTTATATAAATTAAATAAATCTTTAAAAAAAAAAAAAAGAACAGTGACTTCATAATTCCTTAAACAACCACTTAATATTTGGTTCCATTTCCTTTTATTCCCTCTCTATGAGGAGGCTTCTTCTTTCCTGGTATAACATGGTTGTGATCATTTGGGCATAGAGTAGAGGATAGAAGATAGCTTGGTTCTGGAGTAATCCCACATTGCCAGCTCTTTAGTCGCTTTTTTTTAAAGATTCATTTTTATTTATGCATACAGGAACTGGGGTGTAGACCAGAGGTGTGTGTGTTGGGGGGAGGGTTCACCAGAGACAGTGGGGAGCAGAACAGGCAGATCTGAAATATGCTGCTGGGGGGAGCAGTGGGTGAGACAGGAGAGGTCTGCTGCACCATGTGGGTTAGTCTCCTGGCTGGGGATCAAAATCGTGATGCAGTGGCTGGTGAAGCTTATAGCGCTGAGACTTTAATCCCTGCACCACCAGGGAGGCCCCCTAGCCACTTTTTTTTCCCCCTCACTGTAAATTGTTTATTGTAAGATAATTTACAAATACCTTGGGCTCTTTAGTAATTTAGACAATCGACTGATAATTTCTTCTGACAAGGATAGCTGTAAACTAAAACCAAAATCAGCTGACTGAATTTTTCTTCTTTACCTCTTGTCTGAGGATGAAACTTGATTTTTACTAATCCAAAGCTGTGGCATCAGAGAGAATCAACTCTTTTTTGATGACAGCTTAGCGAATGCGATTGAAAGTCAAAAGACAGTTACTTCAGAAGCATTCTTGCTAGAGTTGACCATGGACGTCAACCTGGCACGTTGCTCATTCATAGATTCCTTCAGAGAATAGCAGATGATGTTGGTCAGATTTATTTTTGGTAATTCTGTAGCATGTCAGCATCAATATCACCTTATAATCAATACTCACTCTCTGCTCTTGCAATGATAGCAAGAGAGAAGATGGACTTTTCTTCTGTTTTGTAGGAGATAACAAACCTGAATCTGTGAGAGATGATTAATCCTTCATCATATTCATATCCAGAATTTAGTAATAACAGGGTAATGACTGATACATCTCCAAAGTCAGGGACTTTCCACTTCTTTGAATGTCACCAGAAATTTGTTAGAGTCCTATAAAGTAAACCCCTGATTTTATCATCACTTCCAACCAGTGTAACTTCACTCTGAGCTGCTGTGAGCAGGGTTACCTCACTTTTCATCTGTTTAAGAACGGAGGAATAAATGGCATACAAAGCCCTTGATTCAGGATATAATGGTAAGGAGGTAGTCTAGCTTAATTAATAGCAGCTCTTTCGTAGAGTCAAATACCTTATTCCAGAATTGGTTTCAGAGCTGGTGTTTCAGTTTCCTCTCAACTTGGGCTTATTTGAATGCTGCCACCATTTCCATAGACCTGGTATTTTCTGAATTCTTTGATTGACTTAGTTCCCTGGTAACATCTAAGTTGCCACAGTTTGAACTTGGATCCATTGCAACTGCATGACCCAGCTAAGAGCTCATGAACACCCACCCAAGAGAACATGGCAGTACTGGGCCAGCTGAAAGTAGGTCAGACAATCCTCACCACATGTCTTTTAATCACTTTAAATTTTAAAAAATCCAACCAAAATTGATTTTCAAGTTTCTGCTAAATGAAAGATCTAATACTTTGTATGTCTCATAATGTGCTACATAAAATTTTATATTTGTTAAGTTGGTAATTGCTTGAATGAAAATTTCTACAAATTTTTAATTTAAATAGAATAAGGCAGTGTTTCCCACAGGGCAATATCTGTACCATTAGTGGCATAGGAAATGAATTCAATGGTTAGTGAAACAATCACATTTTAAAATAATGGTTAGGGCCTCCCCTGGTGACGCAGGGGGTTGAGCGCAGCGCAGCGCTGTGAAGCTGTCTGCAGCCTCTGGAGGGCCAGTTCCTTCCTGGCCAGCTGGCGAGGGTCCCACATGGCGGGGCAGACCTCTCCTGTCTCGCCCACTGCTCCCCTCAGCAGTGTATTTCGTCAGTCTGCCTGTTCTGTTCCCCACTCTTGTCTCTGGTGAACCCTCTCACCCTCCCTTTCATCTGGCCTGTACCCCAGTTCTTGTATAAATAAATAAATAAATTTTTTTAAAAAAATGGTTAGGGCCTCCCCGCTGGCGCAGGGGTTGAGCGCTGGGTTTCCAAGCAGCCCGCAGCCTCTGCAGCGCCGGTTCGATTCCCGGCTGCTCCCGGGCCACCAGAGGAGGGTCCCACATGGCGCGCAGACCTCTCCTGCCGCCCGCTGCTCCCCTCAGCAGTGTACTTCGGTCCTTCTGCCTGCTCTGCCCCCCGCTCTGGCTCTGGTGAATTCTCTCACCCTTCCGCGCTTCTGACTGTACCCAGTGCTTGTATGTATGTATGTATAAATAAATAAATAAATAAATAAGTTAAAAAAATGGTTAAAGTATGTTTTCAGCATATTATAAGAAAATATAATTACCACATAAGACCATGGTTTTATGGGTATTATTTCCTATGATGACACTATAGAAGGTTATTATTTATAAAATCTGTTTTAAAATATTAAGTGAATTGTATGTAGAATTATATAAACTGCTTTTCAAAATGGCTACATACCCTTTTTACATTCCCTCTAGCAGTGCATGCTGTTTAAGTTTTTTCATACCTTTTATAACACTTGGATTTATCTCTTATTTATTATACACATTTTAGTGAGTTGTGTAATGATACACATTTTAATTCAGAAAATGAGTTATTTTGCAGAGAAAACATTTGGGGTAATTCATGGTAGTTTTTAAATATGCGCCATTTGGAAGGTCCAGAAGTAGAGCTAGGAGGAATGTAGACTTTTCAGGTAAGCAAATTCTGGCATACAGTTAAGCAAAACTAAATGCTGTGTACTTTTGCAAACTAAAAGTGACGTTCTTATTGAGTGTATTTACTTCCAGATGTATCAAATAGTGTTCTTCAGTTACAGTCAACAGAAATTGACTGATTTAAGCTTAGTAGGAATGTATTGTAAGGATGGGGGGGGGGTGATTCATAGAATAAAGGAAAAGTCAAACAACTAGTATTTGGAAAGGCTAGGAAGCAACATAGCTCAGGAAATCTAAGTACCAGGAACCAATGAACAGTTTCACCAGAGATCTACTGTCAAGATTAATTAATTCTGTTTTCTGACCTTGCAACACTCCACTCAAGATTTAAATTCTAAAATGAGAGAGTCTCCTATGTTTAGTTTAGTTTATACACCCAGCCCTTGGTCAGAAGGCAGAATTGATAATCCTCACCAATAGTATGTACTAGGGAAGAAGAAATTACCCAGGGAAATTTTTTTTTTTTTAAAGCACTATTGGGTGTTGGGCAGGTAAATCCAATAGATACTTACGTACAAGGTCACTATCTGGTTTATATTTGGGAAAAATTAGCAAGGGTAGCAGGATCAACAAATCTCTGAAGTCCCATTCATTCCTTTAAAAGTTATTAAAGGTCTTGTATGATTTCTATGAAATCAAGAATCATATTTATTTAAATTTAAAGTTTTTACTTTGTTAACCTAATTTTTATATACATAGCAAATGTACTTTGCAGAATGTGTTGCCCATTTATTTTCTGAAGGAGAAGAAATGTCAATTTCATTTTATTAAAGACAAATATATGGATGGATTCTCCTGATAAAAAAAGATTCACTCAAATAGAGCAAAACTTACATGATTTCCCTCACCTAGCCTCCCTGTGGCTCCATGTGGATCTTCTACACTTGTACAAATTATATTCCTAAATCTATACTGTTGGCATATGGAGCTTTTCATAGTTAGATAGTATTATGCTACATACATATTTGCAATTAATTTTTATGCAAAAGTAGCATTATTATATTGTAGTAGCATTATCCCAAAGCTACTCTATTTTTATTGAGGTATAATTGACATATTACATGTACATATTTGAAATGTACATGATTCAATATTCACATATATTGTGAAATGATTAAGTCTAGTTAGTGTCTATCACCATACATATTTAGTAAAAAAAAAATTTAAGATATATGCACATCAATTTTTAAATATGCATGGCATTTTTTTGATTGGGTCTTGTTTTCTTTTGTGAAGTTGTATGAAGTCTTTGTAGGTCAGGGGTATTTGCCCCTTGTTGGTCAAATGATGTGCAAATATTTTCTTGCACTTGGTAGTGTGACTTTTCATTTTTACAATAGTTTCTTTCACTGTGAAGAATCTTTTTGGTTTGATGTAGTCTAGGTTGTCCAATTTATTGATCTTTTTCAATGTAGGCACTTAAGACTATAAATTTCCTTTACGTGCTACATTAGCTATATCCCATAGGTTTTTTTTTTTTTTTTTTTTTAATAGAGGCATGTTTTATTTATTTATTTGTTTGTTTGTTTGCTTGTTTATACATGCACTGGGTACAGTCAGAAGCGCGGGAGGGTGAGAGAACTCAACAGAGCCAGAGCGGGGAGCAGAGCAGGCAGAAGCAAAGTACACTGCTGAGGGGAGCAGCGGGCGGCAGGAGAGGTCTGCGCGCCATGTGGGACCCTCCTCCAGTGGCCGGGGAGCAGCCGGGGATCGAACCGGTGCTGCAGAGGCCGCGGGCA